GAGGCTGGAGATGAGCAGGAGGGTGGAGACGAGCAGGGAAACTCATCTCCTTGCGCTGATCTCCAGCCCCCTGCTCATTCTCCTGCTCTGTCTCCAGTCCTCTGGAGCTTGGAGACAATTGGGGAGCAATCAGGAGGCTGGAGATAATTCAGAGATTCCCCCAGTCGGCTCCAGGCTCCTGATCACTCCACCTATCAGCTCCTGCTGCCCTATCGCTCCCTCACCTGGCTCCAGCCTGCTGCATTGCTCACAGCTTACCAGCAGCAGGCAGTGGCAGCAGGGCTCAGCCCAGGCAACCTGGCATCCATGCTGCAGCTGCTGCATTGTGTGGGTGCGGCCCTGATGGGCAGGGTGCTGCACTCTGTCTGGCATCTCAGGGGTGCTGTGGCTGTCACCTGGGGCTCAGCGCCACTCAGGCCAAGTGGCCCAGACCTCTGAGACAGTGCACAGCACCCTGCTGAGCCAGGTCATACCTACGTAATGAAGCAGCATGGGTGCCAGGTAGCTGGGGCTGAGCCCCACTGCCCCCCATGCAGAGGGGCTGTGCCATGAAGCCCCCAGTGGCCCTGAACACTACTGCTACTGCCACTGAGTGTGGGTGAGGCTGGGGCTGGGGCTAGTCAGGAGAGCAAGCAGGGGGTGGGGGGAATGAATGGGGGCTGGGGCCAGGCATCCCCCCATGGTCCCCTCTGCCCCTTCTTCAACCCCCCAAACCCCTACTTACCTGGCACAAAGCCGGGTCCAAGCCCCTGTAGGCTGCACCACTGTTTGTCCCACATGGGCAGGCAGCGTGCTTCACCACTGAGGCAAGGACGAGCCATAGAGGAACTCTGACTGACTACCAGAGCATTTCTGTGGAGGACCAAGTCTCCAGTTCCCTCAGGGCACATTCTGGTATCATACCCTGCCCCAGATTTTTCCCTTGGGCCATTTTTTGACCTCTTGATATCCAGGGGTATAATTTTGCCCCCATGCTGCAAACTTGTTCCTGCACATGCCTCTTGCAGCATCTGAAAGGGGTTTGAGATGCTGCAAGAGGCACGTGCACACTTGTCTGGACATGCCCTTTAAGCCCTAAATTCTGTCACCCTTTGTGCACTCATTGGGTGCTTTCCAGACATTGAAGTGGCATTTGGGGCACTTGTGCACAGGTGGGAGGTCTATTTTTTGTGCTATGTAGACATGAGTGGCATGTGTCCATAGAGCTATTGTAGATGCTCAGTAGTCTATGCACTAGCCAGCTAGCCATGTGACTATTTTGTGTTAGACCTCAGAAAAACGAGCACCTGTCACGTCTTCTGTCCCAAACACTTAAGTGTTTAGGCAGACAAGGTTCCTTGGGTGAATCTGATATCTTTTATCAGACCAACCCAAACAGTTGGAGAATAGTTATTAAGCAAGCTTTTGGGTTCAAAAACCCTTCGTCAGGCTAAGGAAGTTTCAGTAGTTAGTGTGTGCTCTTCCTGAATGGAATGAAAAGTAAAGAAGCCAGAGGCAGGGGTAGGGAGTCAGTTATCAGGCAAATTATAATGTGTCAGGTTGATGAAATGGAGTTCATAGGCTCGTCTCTGGGAAGTGTTGTGTAAGTTTCCTTTGAGGTTCAGGACTGAGAGATTGGAGAGAGAGTGGTTTTCTTGTGAGAAACGTTCCCCCACTGGTAATTGGGTATTTCTGTCTTTGATAGATTTCCGGTGTGTGTTCATTCTGGTGCGCAGTTGTTGTTTGGTCTCTCCTTCATATTTTCCATCAGGGCATTTGGTGCATTGGATGAGGTATATTACATTTCTGGAGGTGCAGCTGTAAGATCCAGGAATGCTGATGGCTCTGTTGTGGGGTGTAGTGATAGTGGGGGTGGTGGAGATGTGTTGGCAGGTTTTGCATTTCTTGTCATGGCACAGTCTGGATCCTTTTGGTATGTTCTGGGCTTGAGGAAGTTTGCTTCTGGTGATGAGGTTAGCGAGGTTCGGTGCTTGTTTGAAGGCTAGGATGGGTGGCGCTGGGAAGATCTTTTTAAGAATAGGGTTCTAATATGGGTTGCAATTGTTTGAGGATTTTTCGTACAGGTTCAAGGGAGGGGTGATACGTCATAACCAGCGGTGTGCGATTTGTGGGGGGTTTTCTTCTGTACTGCAGCAGTTCTTCACGTGGTATCTGGGTGGCTCTTTCAAACGTGCGATCTGTCTCTCTGGAGGAGTGTCCTTGTTAGGTGAAAGCCTTTTTAAGATTGGTGAGGTGGCAATCCCGGCTGTTCTCTTCAGTACAAATGCGGTGGTATCTGAGGGCTTGGCTGTATATCTTTTTTGGTGTGTTTAGGGTGATTGCTGGTTCTGTGCAGATATGT